AAGTTGTCGATCTGTCGATGCAAATGTACGCATGCCGCGTCGTGCAAAAGGTTTGTATCATCATGAGCCATGTTTCCTAGCCACACAGCTAACATGTCTAGGCACTCGAGCACGTTCTCGTCGAGCAACAGGCCGAGCTGGTGAAGGAGCTGGAACCCGAAATTCTCAAGGTTGTCAAGGATCAAAACGGCAACCACGTCATCCAGAAGATCATTGAGCTCGTTCCTCGCCAACACATCGACTTCATCATGAACTGCTTCAAGAACCGCGTTTGTGAACTGTCGACCCACGGGTATGGCTGCAGGGTCATCCAGAGGGTTCTCGAGCACGGTGCCGAGGCCGACAAGGTCGTCATCATGGCGGAGCTGCATCAACATGCCCAGCAGTTGATCCCAGACAATTACGGAAACTACGTCGCCCAGCACGTTATCAGAAAGGGGTCGCCAGAGGACGCCTCCAAGATGATTGCCACTGTCACCAAGGACTTGATCCACTACTCGAAGCACAAGTTCGCCTCCAACGTGGTGGAAAAGTGCATCGAGAAGGCCAGCATCGAGGAGCTGCGCCGGATCAGGGAAGCGGCGTCGGTAACCGGCCCGAACCCCGAGGATCTCAACAGCCCGCTGGCTCTGCTCATCAAGGACCAATTCGGAAACTATGTGATTCGTGAGTTGCCCAGCCCCCTTTCTCCAGTGCGAATTCTAATGCCGTCCCCAGAAAAACTTTTGAATCAACTCAAGGGCAAAGAGCGCCAGTCCCTAGTCGATGCCATCAAGCCAATTGTATATCCCCTCAAAAGCGTCATCAGCAAACAGCCAGCCTCAGCTATTGACCGCCTGATCAACCTCATTTCGACGCCCGCACCCGTCGACAACGAGGCGCCCGCGTCCACAGCCCCGACATCTCCCACGGTGCAATCTGATGACGCTTCCATCCCAACGCCTCCGGTTCTCACGACGGGGCCAAACAGCCCGTCTAGCAGCCCGCCAAGCACGAACGACGGCCTTGCCGAGGACACCTCCGGTCGCACCATCGCTGATGCGAGCGTCAAGCTGTCCAGCTCCGAGACGGTCACCGATACCAGCCTCCGCACTGCCCTGTAGGCAGCATCAGCGAGGAGACCATGGTACCCGCCATGGCTTTTGGGGCCTTACGCTTCGCCAAACTCATCATGCTCTACGGAACCCTCGGTGGTTGAGCGCCCGGGCATTCCTGCGGGGTGGGCCCCCGGAGGTGTGAACATTGATTCTCTATTCTTCCCACGACGCCAAACGCCACTTTACTTCCTATTACCGGGGATGGATTCTCTTGATCTGCAACATTTCCATGGGATGGAAAAGCGGGCCTACGAGACGTACACAGCAACAGGACACATGCATACACAACACAAATGAGCTTTGAACAGGCCACACCACCACACAGAGAGAGAGATGTTGGACCTGCTCTTCTTCCCTTCTCCTTCCGGGCAGATGATACTCCCCGGCCCATTGCTTGGACATTAGCGGGCAGTCAGCGTTGTTCACCAGGTCTGCTTGAATCATCTCTTCTTAGCATCCGAGTTTTGTCGAATGCTGGAAAAACTACCGGGTTATCAGACCGCTTGCGAATTTTTCGGCACACGTTTACTTGGATGCCCCGTGTTTTTATTTTGGGGGCTCTCCGGTTGTTCTTAATATGGTCTTTTTTTCTTTCCTATTCGGTCATGGGTTATTATGAAGATACCTATCTCTCTCTGTCGGGCGCAATTATGTGACGGACGGGCTAGTACAGAAAGACGGGCGAGGAGCGAAGCGGAAATAGCGGACTCAGGGAAGGGTTGGTTCTTGTTGGGTTCTTGTGGTTTTAACGACACCATTTTTCTTGTGGCATAAACAGCGGACACACACACACACAGCCATTCCACGACACATTTTTCTCTTTTCGTTGTCTTGTTGCTTTTGAATGGGGACTTTTCTCTCTTCCTGGCTGGAGATTCGGGTGGACAAGGAAGGGAATCGGACTTGGTACTACTACTACTACTACTTCTGCTACATACTACAGCAACGACGGCAGCAGGTAAAATGACAGCGACGGTGGATGGGATTGTTTGGGATCGTGTGTGTAGTCGGTTTCCCGGTTTCACTTGGATGGGAGGGAGGGAGGGAAGGGGAAAGGGGCATATGTACTTTTATACAAAAATGGATATGGGCTTACTGTTGCTACCACCTGTGTCCGGGATTCTTCCCGGTTGTGATCAAACCGAGGGACACACGGAGCGGGGAGGGGTGGTGAGGGCATCTCGGGTTTTGCCCCCTCCCGACTCGACACGCCCACAACTCCAAAACAAAGTGTCGTTGGAATAGAATTTGCCAAGAAGATGTTGACAACTTGACAGGTCAATGCCCAGAACTTGACAGGCTTACATAACCCGCACCCTTTCCCGCACCGCTTCTCTCATGAGTCAAGACCTCGACCTCGACCTCGACCTTGGCCCACGAAACGCTCAGAAGTTCCAGGGGAGACTTACCCATAGGCCGGGTGGGTTCTCGTTATTGGGCACGGCTTGCTCGAACATTGGAACCTGGATATATTGATCATACAGAATACGACACAACCCGCGACGAAACACCAGGCGAACACCAGGAAAACCAGGGCAGGTAGGTGCGGATATCATTGAGAAGAAACACAACCTTCAGGCGAAGAAAAGAGAGGGAGAGAAAAAACCACGCCCCTTGCCGCTCAAGCCGGCACCGACGCCGTCGTCGTCGACCCCGAGTGCGACCCCAGATGCAGCTTATTCTTAATCTTTGTCTTCAAGCTCACCTTTTTCTTCTCCTTCTCCTCTCCCGCACCGGCGGCCATGTCGCTCGCACTCGACCGATCGACGTCCTCCTCACTATCCGCCGCCCCCTCTTTGTTGGCCACGAGACCCCCATGGGCCGCGGGATCGCGGTGCACGCCCTTTTGCTCGAGGAGACCTAGCCTCCTGTTAGCCCCCACTGCAAGTGGTGAAACAAGAAGAAGAAGAAGAAAAAAACTCACGATCCGCCTCCCTCCCCGCCCCGGGCTTCGCCGCGTCAAAATCCCCCCCGTCCGCCACCAGTCCGCTCGACTTAACGTACTTGAGGCCCCTGCCGCCCTTGCCGTCGTCGCTGCTGTGTCCCGAGTCGTGGCGCTCGAGGGGGGCGCCTCCGCCGCCGACTTCCTGCTTGGGAGCAGGAGGAGGAGAGACGCCGGCGTCGCCGCCGTGCTCCTTGGCGACCACCTCGAGCGGGCGCGGCCCGGGGCCCGAGAGAAGCTTGTCCGGGCTGTCGCCGACGTCGAGGCCGCCCGTCGTGTCGTCGACGTCTTGCTTGGGGGCCGAGGCGTGGTGGTCGGCGGCGGGGTCCGAGGGGTGGCGCGTGTCGGATTGCGAGGTGGTGTGGTCGCCGGGGCCGGTGGAGGAGGGGTTGGTCTTTTGCGGGGCGGGGTGCGTGTCTGGGGTGTCGGAGGACGGGACGGGAAGGTCCTTGGAGGAAGAGATGTCGGGTTTGGAGTTGAAGTCGAGTTCGGTGGTTGTTGGGAGGGGCGTCTGGGCGAGGGATTGTTCGTTGGGCTCTGAAGGGTGGTGAGTGGATGGTTCGGGGGGTGGTGTGGTTACGAGATGCTTACCCAAGTTGCCAGCGTCGTACGGCTGCCCCTTGGAGACGTCGCCCGTCTTGCCCGAGATGGGCTCTTGGGTGGTGGACTCGTCGGTACCCCAGATGGCCTTGGTGACGGCGCTGCTAATGTTGTTTAGGGACTCCATGGTGGCGGTCTGTCGTTACGGTAGGCTGGGTAAAGTCAATGCAGGTTGCCCAGGCAGGTCGTGAGATGGTTAGGGTATCAGAGGCTTTTGTATAATCGTTTCCAGAACTCCGGGATAGTTGGGTTTTCCAGAACAATAAAGAAAGGACGGGGGGGATGGCACCTACTAATATTGATCCAGCAACTAACTACTGTATGCCCACCACCACTACCACCTTCCCCAAGTCCTAGCCATCTCGGGGTCTGACGTAGGGTGACGAGGCGTGTGTGGGTGGTGTGGTGGTGCAGGAACCACCACTTACACAATGGCAACCTGCCACCAAGCACCCAAATCCTTTACGATTGCCTATGGGCTAGACTAGTGGTCCCAATTACCTGCCTAGGCCCGCGAGACGACCTGCGAGGCATCGATCGACCGGGTACCAAGTCAAGGAAGCTGGCGACACCTGTTGAAGGTGTTCCGTCATCGTGCCGCGCGCCGGAGTGTCATCCCGCGATGGGCAATGGGCGATAGGGGAGGGGGAGAACAAGCTTTCGGCAGGTTTATATCCGCCCCGTGGTCCTGGTGAAAAGACCCCTATTCCGATCCTGTTCCTTTCGACTCACAATTATCTCGCCCCTCTCCGCGCCCTCTAGCTAAAGCGATACGAGCATCATTGGTCGCGTGGGGGGTTTGTGGGAGGAGGTGTCGAGGGGTCGTTGCTATGACGTTGCTGGGCAATCTTCGTCGGGGTCCCTCATTACGTCACTGCCGATCCCCGGTCCGATCCCGTCTTCTTGGGAATCACGGAATCTTGTCCATCCCGCAACCCCGCCGTAAATAGGGTCTTGGTTTTCCTTTAAAGAGTAGCTTCGGCTGAGAAAGATATTGATCGGGAGAAGAAGCCGGCTCGTTCATGAAGAATCCTGAGAGAAGTCTTGGGATCTGGACTTTTGGAGATGACGACCCTTTTGCGCAGCGGTGCTATGACTTCACCCGATCCACCTTGAACCCTCAACCCCACTCCCAATCCACCAGTTCGAGAGAAGAGGGACAGCCCTGGCCAAAACCCTTCAAAACCCTCTCCCTAAACCATGCTCTATATCAATCACAGAAATCGGGTATGGTGTAGCGGTAACATCGGTGACTCTCACTCACCAGCCCGGGGTTCGACTCCCCGTATCCGAGTTTCAGGCCTCTCTTCTCTCCGTCCCAAACAGCTACGGTGAATGGAAAACATTCACACGATATCTTATCTTCCGTAGTATAGTGGTCAGTATGTGAGCTTGTCATTCTTCAATCAAGAATTACTCGCTCGAGACCCGGGTTCAATTCCCGGCGGGAGAGACTCGTATGGGGAGGGAAGAAAAGAGGTTCTGTCTTTGTTGGCATTTCTTTCCTTTTTGTTCTCTAACATTAAAGTCCGTGCACCCACCAACCGATCAGGCCACCAACCGATCAATTTTCTACCTCCTTTCAGCTATCTACAACAGGGTCGAAAATCAACCACTCCAAGCACATCTCCTCAAATACGTAACCATCTACTATATCTGTAGACTCCAACTGCTTTCCAAGCTCCTCTTTGGCCTGTGTAATGTGTTCAATTCCAGCAAATCGCTCATTGGGATCCAACCTGACCTTCTTTTTCTTCCTCGGCCGAAGTCTATCTACTTCAGCCTCCAAGGCACGAATCTTCTGCTCTTGGCCAGCCAGCTTGACTATCTGGTGGTCTAGACTCTTGCCTACCTTCTGGAAAAGAAGTCTGGCTATAGGGTCTGTTGTTGTAAGCCCTCGGATGGCTTTGTTGGAAGCCACCAAGCTGTAGATCTCTTGGCTCCGGCTAGGAGTTGTGACCTTCTTGATTGCTTGTCGGAAGGCTTGTCGGTTGGCTCGTTGGCTGGCTGGCTGACTGGCTGGTTGACTGGCTGGCTGGCTCCTTCCAGGAGTAGAGGACTCATTATAGGCTTGCTTAGATTGACTGGCCATAGCCCTGATGCCCTCCAACCACTGCGGATATTCCTTTCCGTAAGACCTTCTTTTCTGGCTACTACATAAGATGCCAGAAAGAGCTTCTTGCCAATAGGTGCGCAGTCAGTCATCACAGCCAAGTTAGCGATCTGGCGGCGATACGCAGCCTTCAGGGGTGAAAAGTGCCACATCCAAAGGCTGTAAGACATGGGATGCGTGTGCTGGCAAGAAAAGGAGGTGAATATTGTTGATATAACAGTGCCACATGAAGTCGTCGGTCTCGTGGCTACCGTGGCCGTCGACGACGAGGAGTCTGGTAGTTGTGGTCGTAGTAGATGGAATAAAGATCTTCGTCAACCACTCCAAAGCAATGGCGTTGCTAGTCCACCCATTCTCGCTGGTTGTAAATCGCCACGTACGTAGGGAATCGAGGGCGTCGTCGTCGTCAGGGAACCACTGTTGTTGTACATCTTTGCCTTTAAAGATAACTAATGGTGGAAGACTGGCTCCTGAAGCAGAGATACACTCTACGATGGTGGTCCAAACACGTGATTCCGGGTGCTTTGCCAACGCCACCTTCGTAGCTGATGAACCAACACACAAGCCGTTGATTCCAAGACCCTCCATAAGGCCGGTTTCGTCCATATTCCACCTATGTTGCGGTTGGATCTCTTTGATCGCTGGTATATCGAGAAGGTGAAACCATTCCTTAAGAACGTCAACACTCGTTCCCTCTAGACGCTTGATATCCATACGCTTCTTCTTCTTGGTCTTCAGGACTGGATACCTGCGAATCAACTTCTGCATCCAGTGCTTGCCAACGGTATACTGAGAGCCGGAGGCGTGGAGTATTCGGTTGGCAAAGGTTTGGATTTGAGCGTGGTTGACTGGAAGCCCTAGAGCTTCTTGCGTGAGGACCCAGTTGACCAGATGACTCTCTTGATGCGGACTGAGCTTCTGCATCACTTTGGCTTCGTATTGGCCCTTTGGTTGGCTGTGGGCCTTGATTCTACCCCATAGAGTAGCATAGGGAACGCCCCATTCCTCGCTGGCCTTGCGGAGAGATTGGCCGTTATTGACGGCTGTGATAGCGCCTTGGATAACATCTTCCTTGGCCATGTTGATAGGTGGGAAAAAAAGGATTCTAATGATAGTAAAGTAGTTGAATTTGGCCTTGAATTGACTGTACTGTATGTGGTGGGCTGATTGTGATGATGGTGTTGAGGAGGGGAAATTTTTGATCGGTAGGTGGCCTGATCGGTTGGTGGGTGCACGGACTTAAACCTCCTCTGCTTTGGGTCATCCCAAGCCATCTCCCGAGGGCTTCGTCATTGCAACACCACCACCAGGAAGCCCCCCACCAGCATCACCGTCCCCAGCACCACCCTCGACACCATCGACCTTGCCAGCAGCGACACTGCTACCACTGCAACCCAGCGCATGCCCTGCACCACCGGCGCAACTCTCGGCGCCGCCTCTTCCCCACCCTCGGCCGTCCGCTCCATCAGATCCTCCAGCCTCTGCTGCAGCACCTCCGCCCTCGTCGCCGCGACCAGCGCCGATGACACCCGTCTTGTCGTCCACGGAAGCACAAGCTGCCTCCCCCTCTTCCGGCCCCCCCGTACGCAGTTATGTAGGGCGTCTCGTGGATGACGAGAGAAGCCGTCCTGATGGCGGTTATCAGCAACTTTGTCACTGGTACTGGATTTTGGACGGCAAGGCCCCTCTCGACATGTGTTGACGCAAGAATCTGAACAACCAACGACGACCCGGCTGGTTACCTCACTTGGGGAACCATGATGGAACATGTTGATGTTGACGGACGGGCCAAGATGTCGATGCCCAACCCACGGTGTCTTGGGTCGTCCTCCTGCTATTGCTGGCTTTGAAAGACGGCGGGGTAAGTGCTGGTAGCGAGGCGGGATGGGGTCGGTGTGGTACTCGGACTGGTAAGGTTTTGGAGGATTGAAGAGGGATATTGGTTCGAGTGGACGGTGTTGAGCAACGTCTGTGGGATGTTTTCGAAAACGTCGCCTTGTCGAAAACTGCTGTTAGGTGAGTTTCCCAAGTGCTGCGGTGCGAACTCTCTCTGCCGGGAGTTGAACCTATTTCGCGAGCTGGACAAGGAGCAAAGCATTCAAAGAGCCTGGGTTTCTCGGGTAACAAGATGTAGAGCCATGCTATTGATGCTCCTGGAAGAAAAGGGGGTATCGATCCGACGTCGACATGGAGAGAAAAGATGCCGTCGAGGCATGTTTTCATGTTATACCCATACCACGCCCCGGTAAAGTCAATATTCGCCAGGAGCTGCAAGAGAAGAACAGCTGCCGGGCAGTCATGTGGTTTAAGGGAGAACGACGGTTAAGAGAGATGTGAGGGTGTTGAGAGCCCGGGCGAGTCAACAGTCTGGACTGCTGACCACTCATCAATAAAATACAGGTGCTGCATGCAATCGCTGTGGGTGTGGTGGGCATGTATGTATCGAGCGAGTTGAAAAGGAGGGTGTGCTCGAGCGGGCACATGTGGTTCTGCTTCGACACATGCAACGTCGGGAAGGTCAAGACCAGACGAGGGGGGATGATCACCAGTACTTTGTCCCCTCAGCTGCTTCCTCCAAATGTCCCCCTCCCCCCTCTTCGAACTCCCCTCCCCCTCTTCCTCCCCCATTCCCCGCATCGCATCCTGCCGACCCATCATCTCGATGATCCGCCCGTCTCCAACTCACCAACGCCTCAATACATGCAACGTCTTTTCGGCCCGCAAGTGCCACACTTTGCTTTGGCTTTGGCCACCCGCCTCTCCTCGGTAAACTGTCCGCATAGGAGGCGGCTGATGTTCAAGCCAAAGCCAGACTACCGGCATCTCTCCCAGCCGAACGGTCCGAAGCAGCGGGTAGCAGGCGGTTGAAACCAAGTACGATCAAAAGGCGACCAATTCCAGTGGGAGAGACGAGGACAATGGACAAACGATGCTTGATGTTTTGTTGTGCTGCCTTTACCCCTGACTCGCCGAACACACGACCGAATCTCACCGAGAACAACACCACCAGTCAAGACGACAAGCGCTACTTTACATATGCTCTGGAAGGACCTCGGGAACACTGCTCCTGCATGCAATAACACAACACGGGAATCATGAGAAGCGGCTCTTCCGGATAAACCTGCATGTGCCTCCATCACATCAACCGGGGGGGGGGCACGACGGAATCATGCATCGCCGTCTGACCCGCCGTCGACGGCTGTCATCCAACTTCTTCCGCAATACCCATCATCCTTGTTGACTTCCTACCCGGAATCTAGTTCTAATGTCGCCAAAAACATGCCCACTAGCGCCAGCCGTCGCGCAGGTTGCACGGCATCAAGTCATTAGCTTTCGATGAATCGTCTTGGCCCATATCCCGCCACCCGTATCCATACCTAATCCCAACCATCCATGCAAAGATATAGCAAATCAGCCCATCAGAGAGATCCTTTCAAGCGTCTCACAGCAAGACCAGAGCGCATCCGCTCACCAGCAGAAGCGCCCACATTACGCCGCTGACGGCCTCCACCCTCCTCCCCGAGACCCCGTTCAGCCCGTGAACGGTCTGGTTGTTGGTCATGTTGGCATTCTCGCTGAAGAACCAGTCCTGCGCCGCCAGGTTCTTGGCCGTGACGTTCGGTATGTCGCAGACGGCGCTCAGCTCCTTTGGGTTCCTGCACCGCCTCTCCCAGTCCCCCTGCCTCTTGGGCGACGATGAGTTGAAGTACGCCTTGACGTACTTGACTACCACGGCCGCGTCCCTCTCGGGCGGCCCGCCCGACCACAGCTTGTTCCCGTTGCTCCAGTGCCGCATGATCAGATGCCCGGCCGTCACGGGCACCGCCGGGCCGTCCATCTGCGCGAGCACCACGCCGTCGGCGTAGAACCGCACCCGCCCGGCGAAGTAGTCGATGCGGTACTCGTGGAACCCCGCCGTCGGGTCGAACGGGAGGTAGGCCCTGACGAAGCTCCCCGTGTGCGAGGCGTCGTAGTTGGCTGCCGCCGCCTCGAGCGACTGCAGCACCAGGTTGACGGGGTAGCTACCGTTTGCGTGGTTGAAGTCCTTGGACAAGAACTCCATGTCGATCTCTTGCGTATCGTTGAAGTACTACCCCACCCGTCCCGTTAGCTCCTCTCCCCCGGGGTGATGGCTGGAGAAAACCCACCCAGAAAAACGCCGCACATGTCCCCTCGACCCCCGTCAGCCTCATCGACGCCCTAAACGTCCCCCACATCATGTCCAGCCTCCGCGTCGCCACCTCGGCCGTCGGCACCATGCCCCGCACCAGCTCGCTCCCCACCGTCAGCCTCAGCCCGCCGTCGCCCGCGAGCATGTCGATGTTGCGCGCAGAAAACAT